TTTTATTTTTTACTTTTGACCGTGGACACATTAAATTAACAAAAAGTCACAGTAAATACAAATTCAAAATAATATTTTGATTTTAATATTTACATTTTCAATTTAAATGATAATCTTTTGAACAAAGAATCCTGAAATATAGCGATGATGAAACTTATTTTTAATTGACGTGACGTGACATGACGTGACATTGTAATTGTAATAATAATTCACAATATTACCATTTTAGACTGAAAGGAATCTGTCTGATGACTACACAATAGTTGCTTAACTAATATCAAGACAATACCAGAATCAGAAACAGATCAGAACTGAGAAGGTCGTTTTGGCAGTAATAGTGTTATGGAAACTTCTACCCAACAGGAAACAGTTAAATAAAAATGGGCTGATCCCAATCTGTCAACATCAGAATTTCATTCAGAGTCCAAAGTAATGAAAAACAGAGCTTTACCTTAAAAACTTCTAGATATCACACAAGATTGACCTTCACAAATTATGGCTACTGAGGCAATGGCACCAGAATGGCACTCAGCTCTCCGTGCCCACCTCAGTCTGTCAGTTGATCAACAGCTTCCTGACAGACAGGCAGCAGCTAGTGAGGCTGGGAAAATACACATCCAGCACCCGTACGATCAGCACTGGAGCTCCTCAGGGCTGTGTCTTCTCCCCACTGCTCTTCTCCCTGTACACCAACGACTGCACATCTAAAGACCCCTCTGTCAAGCTCCTGAAGTTTGCAGACGACACCACACTCATCGGCCTCATTCAGGACGGGCGTCATTCTTTTTTCTTCCTCCAAAATTGCTCTGATACCACTCACAAGCATAGAGGAGAGCAGGGAGTAACAGCATTTTAATCAATTATAAGTCAGTTACAAAGTGAAATCACAATGATACGTGACCACCATCCTCATAATGCCCGAATATACACTGAACAATTTTGGGCTGTCCCAGACGAAATATGACCAAAGTGAAACAATCATGCAATTTCATTGGTCATGGCTCCTCAACGTTGGTCCTACCTCATACTGTGAGAGAGGTTGAAAGATTGATGTTGTGATAGCCTGTGAAAATTTTCTGACAGTATCAGAAAGGATGACCATCTCACAGTGTGTTTGCTGCTACAACCTACATCTACTGACTAGCCAATAAAAATACAACATCAAATGGCAAATTGATCAATGCAACATGGCACTAAAGTTTAAATACCATGGAGGCGAAAAATAATACCGGTATGTGGAAACCACAAATCGCAAAGTGCAATTCATCTTGTTCTATTTGTTTACCATCAAGCTGATGACATTTTTTTTTTTGTATACAAACTTCTTCAATAGAGTGTCATCATACAGAATAAATACAAAGCCAAATTTATTAGATCCACAGTAGTGACATTCGATACCTGAACAACCTTCGTTTGAGCCGGTTCTCAGAAAGTAACCTGTCGAGCCGGCTAGAAATCAAACTGAATTGAACTGTAGTTTCAGGTTTATAATGCAAGACACACAGCTGAAGTAGAATGTATAGTAGATATGAGCCAGTTTAATCAACTGTCGAGTGTCGAAGCTTGAGGATTACAGAGGACATTACACATGTGTGTGTATCACCATGGACTTGAATGAGCCTCATGCACAATGTATGTTTCTTTAATAACAAACAAAACACACTGGAAATATGCTTATGACTAGCTTTATTAACTATAGGCCTACATTTACATTAAAGGGGTCATGTGATGCTGCTAAAAAGAACATTATTTTGTGTATTTGGTGTAATGAAATGTGTTTATGCGGTTTAAAGTAAAAAAAAAACATTATTTTCCACATACTGTACATTATTGTTTCTCCTCTATGCCTATTTGGGTTAAACTGTTCTGGAACAGTGTTGTAAATACAACTTAACCACTGATTTCTAGTCGTGTCCTCTTTTGGAAGACCAAACAAAGTAGTTTCGCTTTCACAACGAAAAACACAGCAGCCTAGCGTGAGAGGAAGCCCTGGCTTAGCATGAGCTGAGGCCAGGCTAGAGTGAGCTGAGGCTGGGCTAGAGTGAGCAGAGGCGGCGGTGTCGAGAACGGCGCGCCCGGCGGATCCGACGAAGGAGCGGCAACCACATGTGACGACCCCGGGCTTAGAGAAAGGAAAAATTGAAATCGCATCATATGACCCCTTTAAAACATGGAGAAAATTAAGCTTTTTATATACTTTAGACATGCAGAACATATCCATGTTTGTGCAATGGATGTAATGTGTCCTGTAGGTGCAAAACTTTTAGGAAACTCATCCAAGGCTACTCAAAATTGGTCAGTCATATCTGATATGAAGGATAAGCTAATTAAACTGTGACCACATATAATTAATGTAAGTGAATGAAAGGCAATATCGGCAATATGCGTTTACACAGATAGCTTTATTTGAATGTTTCTGTCACAAATCCTGTCCATGGACTTCTGTCCGATTGCCACCAGAGGTCACCCTTCCGTTACATTGAATCTCACACTACACAAACTGTTGTCTGTCATCCCGGACTACATATCCCAGCATCCATTGCACTGATTACACACACAGCTGCTGCCAGTCACACACCCTACATAAGCCATGGACTTCCTCTCTCTCACGGCAAAGTATTGTTTAGCGCTTATCGCTCACCTAGTGATAGCTACTCTACGGAGCCAGTTCCCAGTCTTAGTTTCCTATTCTAGTTTCCAGTCTAAGTCTAGTCACTTCGTGTTTTCCTGCCTGTTTACTCATCTTCTGCCCGTCTTGGAATTCTCTCTCGTCTTGTCGTTTGGACTCTATTTGCACCTCGCATGAATTATTGTTTGTCTGTTGGATTAACCGTTTGCCTTGCCCTGTTGGATTATGTGGATCCGCATGTCTCTCGTCTCGTTCGCCCCGTAACAGAATACTCAGCCACACAAGGATCCAGCAGCTTTTCTACAGGACACTGGCCAGTTATGGACACCGCAAGACTGTTATTAGCTCTCGAGCAGGGCACACGATCGCTCAAGAGCTATATTCAAGAGTATTTAGAGATAGCTAATTCTACTGATTTGCCTGACTGTATCTTGATATATTTCTTTTATGAGGGCATTAATAAACCGCTCAAATCACGTTTAATCTGTGAGGGTCCCCGTTCATCTCTCATTCAATTTATGGATTATGCTTTGTTGACTGTTGGTTCATTGTTCACTGTGGGTGCCGCGGAGGAATGCGACCCCACACTCACTCGTGTAATGGCGGCCACACTAGAGCACACTCACAAAATGGCGGCGACAGTGGAGCCTGATCGCAAAATGGCATACACAACAGTGCCCTATTATGTTACCGCTGCCAATCCTGAATCAACTCAAGTCACAATTGATCTTCATGAAACAAGTCAAGTCACAGTGGATCTTCATGAGTCAAGTCAAGTCACAGTTGATCTTCCTGAGTCAAGTCATGTCACAGCTGATCTGCCAGAGCCTCGTCATGTCTCAGCTGATCTCCCAGAGTCTCGCCACATCTCAGCAGTTCGTCCAGAGTCTCGTCACGTCTCAGCAGTTCGTCCAGAGTCACGTCACGTCACAGCTGATCTTCCAGTCACGTCACGTCTCAGGTGATCGTCCAGAGTCATGTCACATCACAGCTGATCTTCCAGAGTCACGTCACGTCTCAGCTGATCTTCCAGAGTCACGTCACGTCTCAGCTGATCTTCCAGAGTCACGTCACATCTCAGCTGA